ACCCCTCTATCCCCACCATCAGACACCATTTAGGCCAATTCCTCTTTGGAAAACACCTCCGTGATGCTTTCTCAGACCCCTCTCATGTAAATTAATTGACTTCCTCACCTGCTCCCCTCACAGGTGGTACATCTCTCTCTACCGTGACTTTCATCGCTGCTGCTGACTAGTTTCTGTTAATGTGTCTGTCCGAGGAATGCTCCACTCCAAACTCTTCAGGACAGGAAAGGGGTTAACACTCGAAGGCTTAATAAATGAACTGGCAGGTGGATTTATGTGTTACAAAATGTGCCAGCTTTGATTGTAAGTGTCATTATGTGAATTATTAAATAAATCATGGACCTTGCTTTAAACTATTAACTGAGTAATTTAAGTAGCCTGTGACCTGTAAAAACATTGTTATTTTTGGGGGAGTATTAATGATGTGTAGGTGGAAGAGTCTGACATTTTATTAGGAAGTTTAATGAGTTTGACAAGATGATCCTGGTGGTCGATTCTATCCTACATATTATTATAATAAGAGTAGAATGAAGAGGAAAAACTCAGATAAGATAAACAAATTATTCTATCTGACAGTAAAATATGGCTAGGATTCTTCATAAGTAATATTATATGCACCATTAAAGCCAGAGGAGATCTCAGGCAGCGTGGAGCTTATCATTCCTGCCTTATAAATGAGAAGTTGGTGGCTTAAAAAGGCCAGGTTGATTCTTTGTGTGGTTGGTTTATTTTAAGTTAGCACTGGTTATAACTCACGGAAACTATAGAAATCACTCCCTGCAATGTAATGATTTGAGTTTGTGCTTATAAACTTTATAAGTTTAAGGCCTTCAGGTAGAGTTGAGGGTCATGGCACTGCACACACCATCGTATTAACTTATGTTTGCTTGAGGGAGTATTTGTCCCCTGCTGGCACTTGGTAAATGATTACGTTTTTATTTAAGCTTTCGCAAATCCCTCAGAATTGCGAAGAGATGGTAATGTGTGTCTCAGGGAAAGCAAAAGACAGGAAGCATATTATGAACTTTATGACTTAATGATTAAATATATAAAATATATATGTATATAATATACATTTATATATGTAATAAGACCTTTTAAGGGGTCAGTTTATTTCTCAATTATAATTGGATGCATGTTCAATATAGGAACAAAAAATCAGAAGCAAAGAAAATAATAGAAAATTGTTCTATCATCTAATAGTGGGGAAAATCAATATATGGGCGTATCTAACAAATATAGTCCTGACCTTCTGTAGATGAATTATATTATGTTTTACTTTCAAATTAGTATACATGCAGTTTTTTTCATGGTACTGAAAACTTTTGGTAAACATCAAATTAATCGCCACTTATTTATAACACCTGTCCCTCAACTAAAGAAATTATCTATATGTTTATCTATATGTCCTATCTATCTATGCATTAGATTATCATGATTATCTAGATTATTTATATTTTTATTGTAAAATTGAGAAAATATTCACCTGTATTTTCTTCTAGATGTTTTTGTAACTAATCAAATTTTCAATAAGAAATTCCTACATCAGTAAATAGAATGATTCTATTTGAACATTTTTTAATAGGATTTGTACACTTGGAAAATAATCACTGCCACAAAAACAAAGAAGGATTGCCAGCTTTTCTTATACAATTTAGTCAGTGTTAATCAACACAACTCAGGAAACAGTGGGTTAATTGAATGTTCCCATTAACTCAAGTTATACAAGCTCTGAACCATGCTCTCTGATTCTCTGAAATGATTTTTAAAAGACCTTATAATTTCAACAGCTATCACTGGAATTCCTTCTGAATCTCGTGCCACTTAAGTGCTTATAAAATTAAACCCCTTTTACTAGCTCATCTCTTTCACAGCCTCGAACTCAACATTTATGTAGCAGTTATGTTTTTCCATGACTCAAGAAGTTGAAGTTAAAAGAAATTGAGTTGAATGTATATTGGTTGTAAGTTCAGCAATTTTGGGAGGCTCATTTTTATGTTTTTCAACAATAAAATAAAGATGATCATGTATCTACCTCATAGATTCATTGTGAACATTTAAATGTCTGGAGAGAATTGCAACTGACACATAGTTAGCATCTCATTAATGCTAGCTGTAATCACCATAGTTACTATTATTATTGCAAATCAATAGTAAAATAGATAAAACTGCATACTGTTGTCAAGTGATTTTTCGTTTATATTTATAAAACATATCAGTGTGAGCAGTGATAAGGCTATGAGTGAAAGATCTCAATGTATATGATTTATTTTTGCCTGGTTAGTCACAGTTTACCTGATTTTCCCTCTAACACTCACCCCTATTTATTTTCTCTTCAAGATCTTTCCTTTTCTCACATTTGTTTCCTTTGCAGTATGTTAAAAAGAGGGGAAAGTCAGATTTATATTCAATAATTGTCCTTATAGTAACAAAACTAGGTTCTCAAGGCAAAACACTTGATTGTGCTTTCTGCCCCACAGAACATTTGCTTAAAAAAAAAAAAAGTGAGTATTTTTCCTTCTCCAAGGGATATCTTAAATTTAAAAATGAAATCCCTAAGTACAAATGTAAAAGGGCCTTTTAATAGTTGCCTTCACATCTGAAAAAATTGCGGATTGTCCTCTAATAATGTTTTAAAAGTCCTTTTTTCTACTGGAATTTCCCCAATAACCTCACTCAGAAGTACTCAGGGGACTTCAAGCTTCTCCCCCAAATCTCTTTGTAACTGGATTGTCACCCTAACCTTTTGAATTTCATTTAATTGATTTACCTTTTTGAATTTTTTTACTTCTGAACTAAAATATTCTAAGCAGTGTCTATATAGTTTTACTGTACATTTATTTTGCTCAGTTTCTACTTACTAATCATTTGTTAAAATAATGAACCTAAAATCTCAAGGAATTAATACAAAGAAATCAAATTAAAAGCAGATGATATATATTCACCATTCAGTTGATGGGATATGCTCACCATTAGGTTTTTCTTTTTATTAAGAAAACAAAACCTTTTCCTGGTTATCAAGTTTTATCTTACATATTTTCAATATTATGAAAGTGAGAAGTAGTAAATTTCATTACAAAACTTACATTTATTAGACATGACTTTTGTAGAATTGTATTTCTTTTAGAATTATTCTAGCCTACACACTTAGAAAATTAATATTATACCATAAAATGTCCCTCAGAATCAAAATATTTTGTTTGTCCTCATATGTATTTGTTACAAATAAATTAGTTTGATTTTGAAAGTGCCTCCTCTTTAGCTGCATATTAGTTTTTAAAACTTATCTAAGATTAAAAGCTAATTGATGAGACATCGAGATTTAAATTAACCCATAATCTTCTCATTATCATAAAACTAGGTTCATGTTTTATGTGAGTGTGTATGTGCAAATGTACTTTTCCCCCCCTATTTTAGTCCTGTCTTTGACATTGTTTGAAATGTTCACCTTGTCTTAAATGATCTGTGGAAAGTTTTTCCCTTGAGTAATCTAGCCCTTTCACTGAGCTTTCACTGAACACCAGTGAACAGGAAATTGTCCAGTACGCCTAGTATTCTGGTAACTGACCTGCTGACATTTCCCACTATAAACAGAAAATCAACAAAGATTTAGGTTTTAGGGAAAACATTATCAAGTCCACCCTATCACACTTTTTAAGAAGACTCAGGAGAAAAATCAGTAGAAAGACATGTAAACACAGTAGACCATTAGAAAACCATTTAACATTTTCTTGCTTTCCTTTCTCCCACATCTGATAAACCATTTCAATGTCACAGTGCGCTAGTGCTGAATGTTGACATCAAGCCATTTGTAAAGTCTATTTCTTAACATTGACATCAGGTGGAGACCATTTAGAAATAACGTTTTTAAATGACTCAAAAAAATTAAAGAAAGGAAGGAAGAAGAGAAGGTACGAAAGAAAGAGAAACTAGTAAAGGTTAAAGTGATTGATTTGAGATTAAAAATAAACCATAATTAGTGGGATTGATCAAGAAAGATGTACCATTAATTAGCCTTGGTTTAATAGTCCTAAATAACTGCTTGCATTCAAGAAAAAAACTAACTAAAGAGATGGAAATAGAGAAACAATGGTGAAAATTTTAAAAATATAGTAGTTGTACAACCAAATAGACAAAGAATCAAAAGAACCCAGCCCGGCCGGGTGTGGGCATGGCTCAGTGGTTGAGCGTCGACCTAGGATCCAGGCGATCGGGGTTCGATTCCCGGTCAGGGCACATGCCTGGTCTGTGGGCTTGATCAATGACTTTCTCATCATTGATGTTTCTCTCTCTCTCTCTCCCTCTCCTTTCCTCTCTCTGAAATCAATAAAGATATATATATAAAAAAAAAAGAATCAAAAGAGATAAAAGTGGATAGCATTTTATAGGGTCTTTACATTTAAAAGGCTATAATAAAAGTGGTTACAGATTATTTTGTTCAAATCTACATTATTCTAGAATTCTTACATACATTTTTTATTCTAGGTAGGTTCTTCTTAGCATGAAGTCAATTTCTAGCTAACTTTCTTCATGCCTGTGATAACATTTGGTAGACAAATTTATGAAATGAAAATACATTTTTAAATATATTTCAAGCAAAATATAATTAGAAGGGAAGATGAACTAGAGATGTATTAACTAATAACATTATCAAATATATGTAAAAGTAGCGATTATCTACTTTTCGAAATTCTTAACTTTATAGTTCCTCTCCATTAGTACATAACTAAAGGATAAATCTGCATGCGAGCAATACTCCAAAGATTTTGGCAAATGAATATGTTTTTGTATATTCTTTGATTTATATACAATTTACCTAAAACATGTCTTACCTCATTCTGAAGATCTCGGATCATTTTGCTCTTTCTTTCCACTTCAGTCTTTAAAAAATTAATCTGAAAATGAATAGAAAATTAGGTAGACACATTTCTTATGCATTTTTGTGGGTTTTATTAATTTATTTTCATTATGATTGAGGTTAAATATAAATATGTTATCAACAAATATTGAAAAAGAACAAAGATTTAAAATTTTCATTAACCAAACTTTTATTGCCCAATTCATACATATATCTACTGAGTATATAAAAAAAGCCTTCTCTCATGAAATAGGTTATTTTTTTAATTGAGAATCCATGTACATTATGAATGTGATCTTATCTGTTTAAACATCAATTTTCATTATATTTTATTTATTTATTTATTTATTTATTTATTTATTTATTTATTTATTTCAGAGAGAAGAAGGTTTTGATTTTTTATAGTGACTGAACTGGCCCTTGTTGTTATTATTATGATTTATAAGGCACCCTCAGCAATAACTTTAACCATAATTTAACATTTCAATTAAGTGGTAAAGGTTGTGTATTTTGCATTCTGTCAAGGCTACAGCCAACTCTCTGTTTTCTTAGAATATGTAAATAAAGCCTTGTGTTTTCACTTCTTATCTAGCTTTTTGACAGCTTAGAGCCCATTCTGGGGAAGAAGGGCTGCTTGGCAGCAGCCATGAAAACCTGAAAGTGCCCACTGTAAATCTACAAATTCCTGGTTGAAGAGACATAGCACCAAAAGGAGGGGAGGAAGCTCTTGAGAAGTGGCATATTTACACTTCCCTTCAGCTCTCCTTTCCTTTAGTCCAGGAGAGAGACCTCAAAACACAACCCCTCCCACTGATCTCTTTGTTCTGCTTTTCTGTTCCCTCCTTATAAAAACCTCTGCCTGCATTGAGATATTAAGATGGGCTTTTTTTAGGACAGGAGTTCCCCAACTTCTCAAGATAACCTCTCAAATAAACCTCTTTCCTTTTCACCAGCACCTGTCTCACAAGTTTAGCTATCCTTGCAGCAGGCAGCCAAATCTGGGAAGAGAAAAACAAGCAATCCAAACAATTATCAGTCAGTTATGGAGATTAACCAAGATTTCTAAAACAAAAGAGTGGATGTAAGTGTGGGAACAGGGGGAGAGACAGCCAGGCTATCTGTGGCTGGCAATGTGTTTATCTGAGATAGCCATCTTTGAAATAAATGCTTCTGTGCAGTGGAGATCTTTGCAATCAAGGTTAAGCCCTGCAATTGCATTACAAAAAAGAAAAAAAACAACTCTCAAGGCTTACAGTACATCTACCCAAGCACTTTATGCAGGCCAGCAAATTTTGATATGTTACAGATTTATCTTTAGTTTAAGTCATGAATTATTTAAAGCCATCTTGCTTATATGAATATTCTACTTTTCCTCTGATACCATTATTTGCCCCAAATCCTCACACTTTGATACTATTCAGTGTGTTACCAGTAACTAACAACTAACTTTAATTAAAATTACAGTGAAAATATATTGCATTATCAAGAATATAATTGTTTAAATGTTAATCTGGGACAGATAAAATTGAGAAGGCAATACTCAAATATTCAGGACCTAAAATATATTCATAATATTTAAAAAGTTTTAGCCTGGCCAGGCTTGGCTCAGGGTTGAGTGTCGACCTAGGATCCAGGCGATCGGGGTTCAATTCCTGGTCAGGGCACATGCCCGAGTTGCGGGCTGCAGCCAATCAATGACTCTCATCATTGATGTTTCTATAGCTCTCTCTCTACCTCCTTTCCTCTCTCTGAAATCAATAAAAATATATTTAAAATAAATAAATAAATAAATAAATAAATAAATAAATAAATAAATAAATAAATAAATAAAAAGTTTTAGCATTTTGAAACCATTGGTATGGAAATGTAGCAGGTTTTAACATCCTTGGAAAAAAAGGATTCATAGCAGAGTCATGAAGTAATTCTCAGAGACAAAAATACCATTAACTTACTTTGAATAAAGAATAAAAGAACATATAGTAATTCCTTATTTATTTATTTTTAAATTTATCTTTATTGTTGAAAGTATTACAGGTGTCCCATTTTTCCGCCCCAATTGACCCCTCCAATTCATTCCCACCCCCTCCCCAGGCCTTCACCCCATTATTGACTGTCCATGGGTTATGCTTATATGCATATAACTTCTTTGGTTAATCTCTTCCCACTTTCCACCTCAGTTCCCTCTTTCTTCTCCTTCTGGCACTCCAATAATATGAATGTTGGATGCTTGAAGTTGTTCCGCAGGCTCCATATACTATTCTCTTATTTCTGGATTCTTTTTTCTTTTTGCTCTTTTCTTTTCTTTCTGGTTGAGTGTTTTTTGTTTCCTCAAGCTCCAAATTGCTGATCTGATTCTTAGGGTCCTCTACCCTACTGTTGATTCTAGGTAAATTATTCTTCCTTTCAGTTCATGTAGCTTTCATTTCAAATTGGTACTTCATTATGTTATTGATTTTCTCAGTTATTTTCGTAATACTCTTACTAATATGGTTGAGCATCCTATTAAACAAAATTCTGAACTCTGTATCTGTTAGCTTGCTTGGTTCTATTTCATTTATTTCCTCTCCTAAAGACTTCTTCTGTTCTTTCCTTTGTGACATGTTTTTTCACCTCCGCATTTTGNTTCTTTCCTTTGTGACATGTTTCTTTGCCTCCACATTTTGGCTGCTTCCAGGTGTTTGTTTCTATGTATTAGGTAGAGCTGCTGTGTCTCCTGGAATTTGTAGAGTGGCTTTGTGTAGTAGGTGTCCTGTAGGGTCCAGTGGCTCAGCCTCCCCATTCACCTGAGCTGGGCCTTCTAGGTGCTCCTCTGTGTGGGCTGTGTGCTCTGACCTGTTGTAGTTGAGCCTTGGTTGCTGTTGGCATCACTGGGAGGAATTGACCCCCAGGCCAACTGACTCTGAGGACCAGCTGCAACTACAGCCAAAGAGCTGCTGTGCTGGAGACACCCTTATGGAGCAGGATTTATTTCAGTGGAACTTTGGTGTTCAGCAAGTGCGCCCCTTGAGTGTGTTGCTCGTGGATGTGGTAGGGTTGTAATCCAGAGTGGTCCGAGTCTGACCACCAGGTGCACCGTCTCTGAGGCCTCCCAGGAGGTGCAAAGTCAGCCTGTACCAGTGTCTTGCCCAGGGCCACCCAGCATGAGCTACACAGCAAACCATAGTTGACTGCTACTTGTGTTGGGCTTGGAGGTGTCCAGGAGAGGCCAAGCTATGAGCCAATGCAGGCTGCCCCTAATGCCAGGCCTGGGGCCACTTGTCAAGGTGCATGGGGCACGCTGTTGCTTGTTTGAAGGATTTTAGGAAAGTCCTAAGCATGAGGCTCGAGAGGCCACTTGCACAGAAAAGCCCCTGGAAATAGCTTGAATGAGCTTGCAGGTGGAGAGGGGCGGGGCTTCTGGGAATCACGGGGTGGGGCCAAAGGTGTGAGTCAGTCGCTGGCGACTCAAACATGGTGCCTGCCTGCCGGCTGTGTGCGGGGAGGAC